CTCGATTCAGAAAGTGTACTGATGCAAATGGTCGCCACATTGAACCTTTTTTGTAAACAGACATAAAAATTAAAATATCTCCTAAAGTAATAAATAATTTTTTTACATAAATAGGTTATTACTTTTTTGTAAATAATATGAAAGAGCATCAGATGATGCAATAAAAAATATATGATTCCGTTTAAAAAAAACATTAATGACCTTCATATGTCCTTTACACGTCCACCTACAAAAATAAAAGTACCATCAGTATGAACCCCTTTCAAAGCCATTTAACTCCATGTGAAACATTGTCTGCTACGCGTAATAATAATAACGTAAATCTAGATGGTAAAATGTGGTGACCCACCCTGTATATGTGTATTTACTAATCAGCTGATTTTGACAGATAAAAAATATTTTCAATATTTAATGAATTTCCTTAAATTGTAGACATTATATTTGAAAATTAACAATTATTTAAAAAAAAAAAACAACACTGCAACTTTTATCATTATAAATATACAAATATTAATAATAATTAGAATTTATGTACAAAAAAAAAAAAGATATTAATATACAGGGTATATCTCAGTTATTTTTGTTTTCACAATAATATTTCATATATTTAAATATAAATTTATCTATTAAAAAATAAATATAATCAGTGAGGGAAAAAAGGAAAAAAAAATTGCATGCGATAAATAAACATTTACAGAAACCTAAGAATAATGCGGTAACATTTATAAATTGAAACTGACAATTATGTAAATTAAATAGGAACATATATCTATATTGTTTCAAATAAATTATTTACCATTGTATATTCTTAGGTCCTGCATATATAGAATACATGAAAAAATTGTAAGATTTACAACACCATGCTTGTAAACAACAAGACTATGTTATTACAAATGTTTTGTTCAACAATGTACCATTTAACAAACTGGATTACCGTATTTGTGACATGTGTTTTTTTAAACCCATTGATTTTCTTTCTCAATTCTTCTTAACAATTTAACAACCAGTAAAACTCATTTTTTTATTCATAAACTTTTGTTGTTATATTTCTCTCTCATTAAAATGTAATCTAAATTGAGTACACAATGCAATACAAACCTGAATTAATGTTTTTTTTTGTTCTTAATAAAATATTATTTTGATATTTGATTATAAATGAAACGTATATATATATAAATTAATCGAAACACAATCATATTGAATTAGAAAATATTCAATATATATATATATATATATGTGTTGTATATGGATTTGTATGCAAATACACAATTTCAGATAAATTTAATTAATTAAAGAATAATATTTAATTATTGTAATGAATCTTCATTACAAAAAGTATCTACTATCAGTGTACCTAAAATATATTATTAGAAATACACTTAGTATATATACACAGTGGTATTTTATTTGAATAATGTGTAATCATCCTATGTTGCAATGAATTAGGTGAAATAAACTTATATATGATATATACTATTATGTGAAGTGCCATATTACATTAGACAATCATCATAAAGACTAATGGAACTTTCTTTGAAAAATAATTAATAATAAAATAACTCTTTTCTGTGATATTTTTGAAACATTGAAATAAAATCTTTCTTTCTCTCTATCTATCTCTCTTTCTCTCTTTTTTTTACTTTTTCTGTTTTTTTTTTCTTTCATTCTCTTTATCTCTCTTTTCTTTTTTTTCTTTTTTTTTTTTTTTTTCATTATTCTTCGAACAAACTCTTTGATGGTACTAATTCACATTTTTAGACTATAGTTTTGTGGTAGACCCAAGGGACGGTAATTCTGTTGTTGTTACAAAAGTTGTATTTGAAATCTGTTATGGGATAAAGTATTATACATTTGTTACGTCGTTTTCTTTAAAGGTTTTTGTCCTTTAATAACTACTGGTCGGCCTTTAATGAAACCTTTCTTACGTCTTGCAGTCTGAAACATTTAATGTTTAACCCCCCATAACTTCAACTAGATTTCCAGATTCATTAATGTAATATAATAAGAACGTCAAACGATACGATTAATATAATATACCAAAAATCAATCATATCTTTTTTTCTAGTTATATAATAATAATAATTATCTTATCACTTTACGATAATACTAACCTTTTTGCTAATATATGAATTTGCACGACGAGCTATAACTCTGTCTCCAATTGGAATCCTGGGTCTATTAAATTCATCTGGTTTCTTCACCCTTTTTGAAAAAAAAAAAAAAAAACATTAAGAAATAAATAATAGAAATATTTTTTATTAGATAAAATAATTGTTGTAAATAATAAATGATTACCTGTAAATCCTAACGAGCCAATGTTCGGTGGTATAAGCCTCTTCCAAATAAGTTAATTGGAAATTTTTATGTCCAATTTCAGCATTGCGAGTACGATCATAGCCGGAAGGTGATCTGTAGTCAATTTTAACTTCACCAAATCTATAATAACTTAACTTGTACATCAAAGAATTCAATAAAGTTGAAGATCCTTCGGAATCGACTCTGAATTCTCCTTTTTCCGTGAAATAATCACTTTCACGTATATCTTGAGGATGTTCACCTTCGGCTATTCGTATCATCCATAAGAATTTGTTGACATCGTCACCGGAATAACCAATCATACCACCGAAAATAATTAATACATAATCTACATCTAAAGATGTCATAATCTCATAAGCAGCACTTTCATTAGAGCTCATCGCTTTACCGACCAATGCTATATGGGAATTATTCCATGTATTATTATCCACGAGGGTAGTTCTATACAAATAAAAGATAATAATATTATATTAATTAAAAATATTCATTATATATGGATAAGTTTAATTTACCTATTAGCCATTCCAGCTATTTGATAACCATAATCCCACCAGCTCATAACTCTAGCATCGTTAGGTGTATTTTGTGCTAACCAGTAATAAGCTTCCCTAAAATCATCCAGAATAGCTCTACCACCATCATTGCTATAAGATGCTAATACGATTGAAGGACTAGAATATGCATTACTTGTAACCCAAGTACAATGCACAGTGAACATCATTAATAATATTAATACACCAATGATGACACTATTTCTAAGACTGTCGCCTAATCCATCACCAGCGTCCTTAGGTCTTTCATGTTTCATTCTTCTAAGTTTTCCAGCTTTGTCGTACAATGCTCTGCCTGGACTTCTTTCTCTCTCTTCTTCACTTTCTTCTTCGCTACCTTCAATTCTATCGTTACCATCTCTACATTCCTCTTTCAAGAATAATTCTAATAGTCCACTGAATGCTATGCCAGCTAACATACATACGACTGGAGTTAACGTAAGCATAAGTCTCACCATTACTCCAGCGAAATAGACGGCACTTATGGCATACAATATAACTGAAATCATTAATTGTTTCCTTTGTTAATATTGTTGTTTAATTTATGTGTAATTAATATAAAGATACTTACCAAATACTCTTTCATCATTAATATGTTTAATGCAGTACCAAAGCCCAACAGGGAATGTTGTAACAAGAACGTGTAAATCAAAAAAGAAACTGAACCAAGTAGTAGGTTGATGTTCAGAAACTGACGCTATTATAGGTATATGTATTTTTGCATAACCCGTATCCCATAGGGAATAAAATCTTCCACTCCAAGGTGCAACAACACCGGTATAAGTTAGTACAATCAAAATAAGTAGGAGTACAACTGCTGTCACTGCTACTACACCACTAAAATATTTCATCTCAGACTTTGTCAATACGGTTCGTAAATACCTGTTGAAAAAAACAATATTTATTTATTTATTTTTCTTTTATTAAACTATTAAATAATTTTGAATAAATACCTGAGAGTAGCTAGGAATATCAGTAAACCGAATACACCACCCGCAGCCATATGTTCAGATGTTCTAATTGGTTGGAAACCGACAAATGGTATTTGCATACTTAACAAAAGTCCCAAAATGTAAAACGTGGTATAACTTGTAAACAAACGATTACTAAATCGATTCATAACCAACAATGCAAATACATGAAATGGTATTAGATTAATAATAAAAACATATCCACCCCAAGCAGACACCATATAAAAATATGAAAGAGCTGTCATGGATGCCCAAAATATTGATCCAGTTTTAACCGATTTTACCCAAAGATAATAAGTTATTTGTAAAGCAAATATGGCTATTCCCTCGTTGTCGTAACTTCCAGCTACCGATCTTGATATGTAACCTGGTACAATGGCGATGAAACACGCAGCGAATAAACCAGCACCAGCACTCCATATTTCTTTAGTTAATAAATAAGTAGAAATGGCAGTAAGGCCACTAAAAACTGGTGCTAAGAAGACACAAATATCTCTTATGTGTATGGGAATATTTAAAGAGTGTAAGATGTAATGTATCGTTCCAGATGTTATCATAAGTCCAGGATATACTGTTCCACCTACGATACGTCCTAAAGGGTACCATGCCCTTTCGTCGAACCAGTTCAAAAAGTTATAAAATCCATGTTGTACCATGTACGCTGTTGCTCTATAATTGAACCTGTTATCGATGAACAATGGTTAGAAACATTTTCACACCATATCAATATTAAATTTATATACAAATATGTAGTTTCATTTTTTATTTATATATACAAAATATTATCTCTTTAATTATATTTCAAAAAATAAGATCAACATATTAGTAAGTAAAAGAAAATATTGTTCACAAAGTAATTGACATACCATGGATCAAACTCGTGTATAATACTTTCAAATCGTATTACTGCAAATAATCTGGACGCAAAACCAGCTATCCAAGCAAGTAATAATACCGTGAAAGTAATCAAAGAACTAAGACCGGCTGCATTGGTTAACGTTGAAGTTTTCATTTGCTTGGTAGTTGTTTTTTTATCAGGAAACATGATTTTTTTCGTATTTGTCGTAGACGATTTATTAGGCAACATTGTGTATATTTCTTTCAATGAAATTAAATGCTCCTATTAATGCATATTTTCTTCTTTTTTTTCTTTCTTCTTTTTTTTTTTTAACACTTTTTTTTAATTGCTAACTTCTCGTTAGAAGAGGCATGCAAACATGCACTTACTATCCTTTAACACACGGCACGTTGCAAAACTTATAAGACACTGCTTGCAAGAAATTATTAAACCACTATGCGCCTAGATTAGGAGGCTAGGACACGTCAAACGCCGGCTACGTGTTAATCATGTCTTCCACAACGAAACCTTATGCTCATTTCGAACAAATTATTAAAATGGCGGCATGTTCAAATATTATTTCTTTTTTATGACATCAATATCGTTCTAGATACGCCTTTAACTTTTCGATTTACACATTATACTATATTTTTCTTCGACCAATGACGTAACGATTATATTTTTTATAAATTGAAATTATATTATTGTATTTTAAACAATATTTTAATTATTCTATTGATTCTATAATAGTAATTTTTTATTAGCCAATCATATTATAGATAATTATTCTTAGTCATTGTGTATCAAGTTTATTACTTTCTATCAACCAATCATAATACGAGAATTATGATTGACAGATTGTGATTTGACCAAATTTCATTGGATAGAAAATATTTATATTTATGTGTGTTATTTCTAATTTCTCTATTATGTTACGAATGTAATATAATATCACACGATATACTATGGACTAATATTTATTATAAATATTGATTGGTATTAAAATAATTAATGTTTTCAACAAAAGAAAAATTAATACACCGTACCGGACAAAATGGCGTTGGACGATACGATTTTTTAAAACTTTTAATTAATGAATTTAAATCGACCTCATCTAAAGGTAAACAAAAGTTTTTAATTATGTCAATTGATTAGTATTCATATAATATATATGTACATATTTTTTTTAATAGATGCAAAGCAGCAAGTGTTAGCAAATTTAGCTAATTTTGCATACGATCCTATTAACTATGATTATTTAAGACAACTTAAGGTAATAGATTTATTTCTTCATATATTGTCAGAAGATAATACTACTTTTGTACGCTTTGCTATAGGAGGTATTTGTAATTTATGCTTAGGTAATGTATTATGCATTTGAACGTTATATTGATTACATTATTCATTTACACAATAATCCAAACAATCTGCACTTTTCAGATCCCATAAACAAAGCGTATATCTTACGCAATCAGGGCATTCCATTAGTATCGTTATTACTTAATTCTCAGGATGAAGGAATCATACTGTCATCTATTACAACTTTAATGTTTTTAATTACACCTGAATCTAAAGACGATATACTGTCACCAACCATTGTTAAACATATGCAAGATTTTTCTAATAGCACGAATACTCGTATTAAAAATTTAGCTACTATATTTTTAACCGATTATTATCAAGAACATAATATTGAAAAGACTAAGGATATAAAATGATTGATACGTCAATAACAAATTTATTTACTAGTAGATAGAATATTTATTATTAATAATAAATTTATATTGCAATTTATAATTTAATGATATTTCTAATCAAAATACGATTATGTCACGACTTTCATTTTTCTATCATAATATAAAAAAGTATTGTACAAAAACACCACCTGCGAAGATATGTTCTTTAAGTTTAAAAGTTGGAGATCGTGTATCGATTTCTAAAACAATAACCAACAACGATGTTTTGAGTTTTGCACAATTGACCAATGATTATAATCCTATTCATATTACTTCAGATAAAAATATTGTTCATGGAGCTTTGCTTAATGGTTTAGTATCGGGTGTACTTGGAACAAAACTACCAGGCCCAGGTACAATCGTTACTGAACAAACTCTTAAATATCCTAATTCGTGTTATGTTGGTGATACGGTAGAAATAATAGTACAAATAATATCTGTACGTAAAATTATTAAATGTGAATATACGTTAATTGCTAATGGTGATCAAGTAGTTCTTAAAGGTGAAGCTAAATTAATTATGAAAAGAAAAAAAGATAATGTTAATTAATTCATTTATATATGTACAAATATTTAAGAAGAAATCAATAAAAACAATTTATATTTTACATTCGATTTAAAGTAGGTCTTATTGTATGTGCAATCGTAAAAATGTAAACAAATTTTGCTTAGCTAGCAATACTGTCCCTTATATATTGCAATATTTTCAATTGATGTACTTTCATTGGCACGTAGAACAAATTTCAATCTTTTATCAGATTTTGGTAATATAAAAAGGTAGATTGATACATAAATATAATTGTATTAATAATTAAAACAAATTAATTATAATATATTTTATAGAAATTTTTTGTTACAGTTTGAAATGTATCTAACATTTATTTTTATTATCCTATGCGTGTCAACTGTTTATGCAAAAAAGGATATCAATGAAAATAACAATAATCATCTAAACTCATCAACGTCTGAAGAACCGGTTGGATGTGTTTGTGGTGTATTTTTAAGTGGACAATTTAAAAAAGGTTCAAAAGAACAACCTACGGGAAATCCTGTTATTCTTCATGAACAGTCCGATTCGTTTCCTTGCACTTCTCATGGAAACAAACAATGTATTAACAAATGTCTCGAGATTGTAAGTTGATCAAATTGTTTTTTAAATATAATTAATATATATACGTAAACATATACAAATTAATATGTTATTTATATTATAGATCATAAAAAATCTTCCAAATAGTTCAAATATACTTTGTGCTGCGTTAGATCGTGATTGTTTAAAAGAAAAAGTAAGTAATTTTGTTTAATATTAATAGAATAAATAAAATAATACTAAACATAGTTACATTATATTAAAAAGATATACAAATATTAAAAATAAATTATTTATTTAATACAGGCATCTCTCTTCATACAAAATTGTAAAAACAAATGGATTAATACGAATTTATCAAGTAGTAAAAAGTATTGTTGCAAAGATGGAATTTCGTATAAGTGTCCTATCAATTAATTAATATAATATTTATTTATATACATATTTAATTGTAATATTTTTTAAACAATCTTTTTATATTCCTAGATATTATTTTTCAATTTCCCGCCATTAATCTAAATATAACCTAACTCCTTCAAAGCAGAAGAATTCAACATAAATATCTGAAATACTGTGCATCTATATTTAGGAATTGAGTTATAACATTCTGTCCTGGATTTTATAAATGGATAGCTCATTAAATAGACTATTTCTATTTAAAATGCATTGTTAAATTATAATTCAGCTTTGAAAAATTCTTGTTTCTTTTTGTAATACTCACAAGTGGAAATATAACCCCCAATAACAGTGTCATCAGTAAACAACATTAATCTTAAGCTTGATGAATTGATTAATGTGTATTATATTTTAATTGTATGTTTTATATTTATATATTCTTTTTTTGAAAAAAAAAAAAGAAAAAAAAACAATAAAGTGAATGATCAAAGGTAGTAAAATATTTTATGTATACAAGAATAAAATGAATATTTTCGAATGAAAACAATGATATTAAATATAATGCAATAAAATAAAAGATTAAATTAAAAAACGCTTTGATGTATTGACGTATTACAAAGCTTAGAAATATGTGTGCTCGTCTTTTAGCGTGTCCTTTATGTTCTCAGCCTGGTTTTTTAACTTTGGATGCTTTACGAGCAGGACTTGTAAGCGTTGCTACTAGACCATTAATGTGTCCAGTTTGTAATGAAGTATTAGTCGGTATAGATAAATTGACTATACATCTATTCGGACATACCATTAATATTAATGATAATTCCATACAATTATCAAAACCTGTTAATATTAACGTAGACAATAATGAGATCGGTAATCCTAACGTTCAAGTTAAAAGCATCGTTCACAATTGGAATGTATTACGCAAAGAACCTGTTGACACCGGTCAAGGATTTATCAAAAAAGATAAAAGTAAAAATTGTTATGATATTGATCACACAATACAATCATGTTGCACCATTTCAAATAGTATTAATAAAACGTCGACTATGAATTCATTGAACAAAGTACAAACTGATGAGTCGTTTAACAAAGGTTCCCAAGTTTTACATATCTCAGAACAAATTTATCCTAATACGAGTACAAACGAATGTTTTTATAGTAAAGAAAATGATAGATTATTTATAGAAACACACGATGACTCTTCGACGGTTATTAGTGAATTGTCGAAAAGAAATTGTTTGGAAGATTGTTACAAAAGTAACAATCTACAAGATGAACATTTACAACAGAGAGAAACTAACAAATTGGATGACGTTTGGATAGAAGATTTGTCTCAACAAGTTTGTAATCAACATTCCATTATGAAAAAAGATTCATTGGGACGAACTAACGAAACTAGTGATATCGTTTTAAAACAAACAGATATTAATAACGATGATTATAATTTGAAAAATAATTTAATCATCAGTTTTCCAAATGTTATGACGATGAATGATAATGTTAATGTTTTACCATTGGAAATGAATAATAAAAAACATTCGAATGATCATAAAAATACATTGATTGATTCTATCACCGATGTTAAATCGAATCAGAATGTAAATGGTGACAAAATAATATCAAATGTTAAATTGTTCAAGGAAAAGACTGAAAGGTGTAATATATGTGGATTCTATTTTATAGATAGTAATATTCTTCTTTTGCATAAACAATTAGTTCACATGGTCGATGAACAAAATTTAAATCTTACTAATGATAATTTGTTAAAAAGTTATTCGTGCCATTTGTGCTCGAAGGTTTTTAAAATGCGTGGCAGTTTAATGATACACATGAGAGTTGCACACATCGGTCACAATTGGGGTAAACGTTTGTTTCACTTTTACAAATTTATTATTTATCTAAATAAACGTTTGCTTATCGTAATATTATACAGGTTTTTTATCAAAGGATGGAGACACGTCGGTAGGAATTAATAACAATGGATACAATTGTCCTACTTGTGGAAAAAATTTTAAAAAAGTAAGTATTATTATCATCTAGATTAAAAATATGATTTTAATCAAAATATTATATATTTGATTGTTTTGTATTAATTGAACAGGAACAACACGTTATACAACATTTGAAAACGCATGAAGGAAAACAATGGGAATGCGATGTCTGTAGTAAAATGTTTACAACAAAGTATTTTTTGAAAAAACATAAAAGATTACATTCGGGTGAGATGCCGTATAAATGTAACATCTGTGACAAAACGTTTACATTTCAACAATCATATCATAAACATAGATTATATCATAAAGATGACAAACCACATATGTGCACTACTTGTGGTAGATCTTTTAAAGAACTTTCTACGTTGCATAATCATGAACGAATTCATACAGGAGAAAAACCTTTTGCCTGTGAAACTTGTGGTAAATATATTATTATAAATATGATAATGTTATTTTGCTTGTTTTGAATAATTTGTATCTTTTTTTTTTTTTATAAAGTTTACTATTACTCATATATAATGTGCTTTACTATTTACAGTTTTTACTAACAATCTAATTATGGGTCATTTTATTCACATTGTATCTATAACATTACAGTGTGATGCATGAGTTAACAAATTAAAGGTAAAATTTTATATGTTAATCTATGTTTATGTTATATTTTATATAATATTTTACAATATTATATATTATTGATTTCAAGATAAATATTATATTTTTTTTTAATAGGAAAATGTTTTCGACAACGTGTGTCTTATTTAGTACACCGTAGAATTCATACAGGTGTTATGCCTTACACTTGTACCATGTGCGGAAAAAGTTTTAGATATAAAGTAAGTAATATAAAATATATATAATTCATAACGTTTTTCATTACTGTAAATAATATTTGATTAAAATTATTTAGGTTAGTCAAAGAACGCACAAATGTCCGATACAATCATCCAGTTCTCAACCGCAATCGAATGAAATAGTTCAAAACCTTACACAAGAAATTTGCAACGAATCTAATCAATTGCAAGAAACTAATTCACCGCAACAAATAAAACAAATACTTAACGATATCAACGATAAGGATAACAAATTTGTTCTTATAATAAATGCTCAAGGCCAAACCGTTTTAACGAGAGAATCGGATCTTCAAAACGAACAAGAAACTTTTATAAAACCAAAGGAGACAAATAAAACTTCAAACGAAGATGCATGGAATTCAGAGAATTCTAAAAATCTTGATTCAAAAAGTTCTATCAATAATACGGACAAATTATTGTCAAATAACAGGAACAACGTACAAGAACCTACAGATTTTTTTTCTTTAGTAATGTCACCATTAGAAAATGATTTATCATCACCTACATCTGGCATGGAACATCTGCGACTTTCTTCACCGATATCGAAAGATGTGCCGCAGTCTTTATTCAATAATTTTAGACATCTTTCGGAAACTATAAATGAAAATATAATTCATACGGATGTAGAAGAAACGTATACGACTGATAATAATATCAGATGTTCATTTGAAACAATAAATGAAGAATCGTTGAAACAATTACTTTATAGTATAGGTAAGAAATAAAATATGATAGAAATATGTTTTAGAATTGATAATATTAATTACACTTTTTGATGGTAGTTCATTAATAAACAAAAGTGTTATTAAATTAATTACAGATAGAGATTTATTTATTGAATATATTATAGATTAAGAATATGATAATTATTAATATTATTTAAATTTTGATCAGATAATTTATTCATATATTGTTGTATTCTATATTTTTATGTTTGAATACAATGATTACACGATGTCACTCTGTGACATTTAAACGCGCGCGCCAAAATACCTCTGCAGAATACATGCGCCAAATACGTGCGCAAAATACCTGCGCCAAATACTTGCGCACAATGAATGAAATAATATTCTCTGTCTCATTTTATCAATGAGCTTTTTATTTTAATAATTGCAATGATTTTATATTTAATTTAAATGAATTTTATTTAATTTTGTATATTGTTGGTACCTCAGATGAATCATTTTGTTAATATGTACATCCTTGTATTGTCGTTGCATCTTTAACCCTTTATCGTTGAAATATGTGCTGATGTTAACAACAGACTGCGCTGGTATCGTATTTACGTATATGTTATATATAATGCGTAAAAATTTAAGGTTAATATGTTTAGTTCCATGTTTTATTATTGTGATCATAGTGAGTGAATATAAAAATAGATTATTGAAGCGGTATGGATGATCAAAATGGATTATATATTTATTTATATGTGAAAGATTATGTTAAATATATATATGTTATTTTATATATATAATGTTTATGTTATAAAAGTTAAAGAAAAATAATATATATATTAACCATCAGAAAAGAAGAAAGTTTATTTGATAATATATTGATAATTTTGAATGAATATTAAAAAGATAAGATATTAATATATATATATATATTAATTTTGTTATTATATGATTTATATTATACATAACAAAATGTCCTGCCAAAATATAATGCGTGAGAAAATATTGTTCCGCGTTTTAAAAACCAGAGGCTGTGATGTATCTGCTATATGTGATAAAATGGTTTGTTCAAATCATTATTATATTTCAATTACTATACTTTATAGATTAATATTATTTGTTTTATTCTTAACACAAAGTTATATCATCTTGGTATGTACTTATTTTGAATTAATATTTATTATTGTTATAATTAATATTTGATATTTTGTTTTACAGAAATTTGATATTAAGAATATAACTATACTAACTGAAGAAGAATTATGTGAATTATGGTATCATGTGAAAGTTATATTATTAAAAATACAAAAGAAGTTTATGTTACAATCGGAAAACGCACATTCCAAAGTATGAATATTATATTATAAGCGTATCAATATTAACGTTACTATTCTTAACATTTATTTTTAGGATAAAGAAGAAGCATTTAATCTGATACGCATAATAACAGCAATGGCTTTGAAAACGTTACAACAAAAAACATTTGTTCCAAACGTATTGCTAGAAATTGTATTAATACTTCATTCGGTTATATTACCACAAATAAATAATACAAAGGTTTGTAATATTTTTAAATTCTTGCATATGATTATATAATGTATTAAAAAATGATCATGTAAAAGTTCATTCATAATTTATTATTTTTCAGATAAAAGATGAAATATCACGTTTTCTAGAAAATTGGTGGATATCTAATATGATATGGAAAGAAAAAGTAATAATAAATGTTATCAAACATTTGATTAGAAAATCCAAAATTTCAGCGGTAATTTATGAATAATAATACGATCAAAAAAAAATATATAACATTGAAAAGTTTTCGTATAAATAATATACCATGTTTTTAGCAACATGTCAAACGATTATGTAAAATAAAATCTGCGTTAAGTTTAATGAAGAATAACAAAGATATACAAATATTGGTTGAGTTGTCACGGAATACAAATATTATTTCAATGCAGGAAGGAAGAACTATTTTGTTAAAATTATTTACATTAGGAGAAGAATTCATAACGGTATTGTAAAAATAATATATATATATATATATTAGGGTGGGTCAAAAAAGTCAATTATTTTTTTTTTACAAGTGCCACGGAAAAATAGGTTGCTATACACCTTAAAACAATTCTCACCAAATATGAGCTCTTAATTTTAATAGGAAGATACTCCGCATCGCAGTTTTTTATTTTTTTCTCAGTCTAATAGAATAAAATTCATACCTCATCATTAATTGATTGTACAGAAAAATGTTCTGGAAGAATTTTGTAGGAAATTTAATRCTCTACARAAARRRTATCTTATATTTTTTCCGTAAACCTCACCATTTGAATGATATTGAAGATTTAAATTTGATGATTTTTAGACAAATCTCATTTTTGCTTATGAATTTTATAATTCGACAATAAATGACTATTAAAAAGTGCACAATACAAATTTTTGTAGCAAAATTAACTGCTCTATAAAAATGGTGTCTTATGTTTTGGCGATTAAATTAAGCGTTCAAAAGATATTCAGAGACAGAAATCAGTACTCATGAAAATTTGATGATGAATATCTTTTGAACGCTTAATTTAATCGCCAAAACATAAGACACCATTTTTATAGAGCAGTTGATTTCTTACAAAAATTTGTATTGCGCATTTTATAATAGTCACTTATTGTCGAATTATAATATTCATAAACAAAAATGAAATTTGTCTTAAAATAATCAAACTTAAATCTTCAATATCATTCAAATGGTGAGATTTACGAAAAAATATAAGATACCTTTTTTGTAGAGTATTAAATTTCCTACAAAATTCTTTCAGAACATTTTTCTGTACAATCAATTAATGATGAGGTATGAATTTTATTCTATTGGACTGAGAAAAAAATAAAAAACTGCGATGCGGAGGATCTTCCTATTAAAATTAAGAGCTCATATTTGGTGAGAATTGTTTTAAGGTGTCTAGCAACCCATTTTTCCGTGGCACTTGTAAAAAAAAAAAATTGACTTTTTTGACCCACATTAATATATATATATATATATATGACTTGTAAAATTTCACTTTCATTGTAACGTTGTTCAAAATTGATTTAAAAATGTGTGTTTAAAAATTTGAATAATGTTATTATTGTATTTTTAGGAAATTCATAATAATGTTAAAGGGGTACTTGAAAAAGCTGACTCTGAGTTGATCAAAGAATATTCAAATTTGTATGCAGATGCATGGTTAAGTGCAACAAATAAAAATAAGGAAATAATAATTGATAAATGTTTCAAAAATATTATCTTTCATTGTCTAAGATCTCGTAGAGATTTTCTAGGACGAGATAAACTTGGAAATAATTTACTGATATTCTTAGAAACATTACATCGTTATAAAGGTGGTGCAATTAAAAAAATGTTGCATGAACAATACAACAATTTATTGTGGGAACATTTGAAGGTAACCTTTTTTTTTTTGTAATTTGATTTAAAATGATCATTTTTAGAAGTTATTCCAACAATTGTAGTTTCTGTGTTAATTATCGATTTGATTTTAGGCACCTGGGTCTTGTATCAGATGCAACACTGCTGAAGTTTTGTTTATTATTTTGTCAGAACAACCAATACGTTTAACAAAAAACAAGAATAATATAAATATCTTTCAACATTATTCAAAAGCTATTTCTAATCTTTTGAAAGATACTGATGTACAAGTGTGCCTTATAGCTATTAATGTATGTTATTTTTATATATATATTTTGATACGTTAAATATTAAATAATTTATTGATTTATTTCATTACAGATAACTTGTAAAATATTAGAAAATTATTGGAAACAAATACCAGATAATATTATCAATCATTGGTTAAATATTTTATCGGATCATATGCGAAACAAATCATCTTCCGAAATTAAATTGAATATTTTAAATGGTATTAAACAAATGGTAACCAATAAATATTCTCATACAAGTTTACAAAGTTTATTGACTGACTTTGCTAATAAAATGGATTACGCTGATACAAACGTAATAAAAAGTTTTAATAAACTTCTCGTATATCTTGAAAATAATGTTGGCATTTTGATTTCGGATATTATTAATATAAATACATTATTAAAATGTATCCAGGTAAATTAAATTCATATAATAAAATAATGAGTCAACACAATTACTATTAAAAACAATCAAATAAATATCTTATTATTTAATTTAGGATACCGATGAACAAAAAATGTTACAACAATTAATCAAATTATTATGTTTGTGGATTAAATTGCATAATTTAAATGATGACAATGTTATAAAAGAAATTTTATATATTGGAACAAGGAATATAACGGCAATGAGAAAATTATTTGTTTATTCTAAAAATATGATTCTTTGGAACGACGCATGTAAACTTATAAATATTATATTAAGGAAAATTGAAAAACAAATAAATAATTTGTTAAATGACGAAGATGAAATTAATATGAAACCTAATAAAAGATTTAAAAGGAACAATTATAAATCACACAATGGTATTAACATTAAATTGAATTATTTATTATGTTTTATCATCAATATGATTAATAAATTAATAATATTTATTTTTTTTTTTTAGGTAAATCTAACGATGAAGTTGATTCATACAAATCGATTGAAATATTGCTCGAAGTTATTTCTATAATATTGTATACAAATAAAAAAGATTTTACAGAAGAATATTTTGATAATGAAAATGGAAAAAAATTGCAACGAGTACTTACGAATATTCTTCCACAAATTGTTTGTTTTTATACAGATACACAGGTATGAATTTTTATTTTTTTAATTTATAATTAAATTAAAATTATGATTTTTATTAAAAAAAAGATTGTTTTAGAAATTGACTTTCAACGAATCCATTTTGTTTCTACTTTCATTCGTTCCTGTTACTACGTTGAACAATACAAATGATATTTTGAAAATTATTACAAAACAATTATCAAATCCTAATATTTCAAATAATATGTTGATTACAATTTTGTATACTTTAATGAAATGGAAGAAAATTGATATGATTTTTATATTGTTACAAGAATTAATAACAAAATATACAAATGCAACAACAACTAAAGAACAAGTTAGTAATATTTAAATGATTAAAATATTATTCATTTAAATAACTAAAAAAAATATAAACATTTCTCTTGTATATTTATATAGGAATGCAATAAGAATATTACAAAAGAACAAGAAGAAACATTAATGTTATGTATAAAAATACTTAAACAATTATTGAATATCGATTTCCAAGAAGAATTGTTAACCAATTATTATGAAAATTTAATAAACATTTGGAATGATTTACGTGTTATATTACGTCACATTGAAATTAGATTAAAACGTTCGGATAAATTGAATTATTTAATGAATGAAAATAATTTCATCAATCATTTCAATGATTATTTATCAATGATATTTATTTTATCAAAAATTGACGTTTACGATAATTCTGAGTGTTTTCATAATATTTTATTATGGATCGAAGAGTATGAATTTAAACGTTTTTTTATAATAAATTTTAATATTTAAATAATAATAATAAAAAATATATGAATTTTTGTACAGGAAAGTGATACTGCAAATGCCTAAAATGGAGGAACATAAAAAACCAAGACATATATTTCCAATAAATATATTAAAGATAGTAATTAATGTATGCAATTCTATGATAAATGATTGTCTATTATCTACAAAGATATGTTGCAGAATTATAATAATTTATATGAAAACTATTATATCATCAGTTGGTATCATTTTTGTGGAAGATGCTTTTAAAACGATCATAGCATTATTAAATTTAAATAAAATTCAATATGACAATAAAGATTCTAATTTATTAAATACTATATTACCAAAGTTTTTATCCACTGTTATGATATCATTAAATAAATATTCAGAAGATGTTATTATTTTGTATACAAATGTAAGATTATAATCATTTGAATTAATTTTTTATTAAGTTTATATATATTTCATTTATTTAATTTTATTATTTGTTTTAGAATTTTCAAATATTCATTATGGTAATAGAAAAATATTTTGAAAGCATCGAATCTACGTACAGTGATCCAGAAATGCATTCTATGTATTTGACTATAATATTAAATACAGTTATTGATAATATTAGTAAAAAAATCAACGATAATTATATTAACAAACATTCTAAGGATATATTGAAAATGAAATTTCCATATCTTGCTGATAAGATTTTAAATTTAACGTTGTATGTTAAAAAATATCAAGATGCTTGTTTATTTTCTATCAAAAAATCTGTAATACATTACAAAGAAGTAAATATTTATTTGTTATATATTTGATAACACATTTTTGTTAATCATATTATTAAAAATATTTACTTTTATGTGTTTACAGGTCAATATACTTGCAATGTTACTGATAATAAATCAAATGTTTCATTTACCAGTTAAATCTGTGACAAAATTACAAGACATTACCAATGTAATTAAATTAGAATACGACAAACGATGTGATCTTACCGTCCATAATAATAGGTGTTGTATTTAATGTATTATACATGTTTTATACAGTCTTGAGGCATTTCATTTGATTTAAGATATTTATTTTTATTTAAGTAAGTAAATATATGAAATTTTGATGTGACCATCACCAATCATTGGTCACACAATTAGATGATTATTCGTAATATTTAAAATGTAAATCAAATTAGCTGCTCTTTATGACTGTATATTAATATTAATATTATCAGACAATCATAATGATAGATATTTTTTTACAGATTCATTATCGACGCAATAAAAAAAATCATTAACACGATAGAAAGTAATTTTTAAGAAAGAATAAAACAACAACAACAAAGAACTATATATATATAAATATATATAAAATAATTTTTAATATTTTTTCAATAGATTATTAAACTAAGATGAGAATATTTTTATAATCATATATATCATTTTCTACGAATAAAAATATTCTAATTCTCTGTCAAACGCAGTACCACATAATCTGTTTTTATTTTATTTTAATATAAATAAATATTTCTTTGGAATGTAAATACCACAATACAAAACAATAATTACCAATACGTTTATTAATACGTATATTTGATTTTATTTATGATAAGGTATAGTATTTTTCTATAAAAACGATTGTTTAATTAATAATATTATTAACCAGAAGAAGTAATGTTTCTCATTTGTCTAACAGCAGCAACGACACGTGCGTTACAACCAGTACTACCATTTTGATATTCCTCTGGAGGTAATCTTAATAACAACGATGTATGTTGCAGATTTTCTGACAATGAAAGACCAAGTTCTTCCAAAACATTTCCAAGATAATCTAAAAAGACATCACCAATTAATATTTAACTTTAACTTGAACAATGTGTAATTGTTTAATCGTATTCACACCTATATCCGTAGCAAGTTGTTTACAAGCAGCAGAATTTAATTGACCAATGGCTAATGTTTGATCATGAAACATTTGACAAGTTCCTCTAGCAATGATATCTAACAAGATACCAGTAAAACCAGATTCCATTGATCCTTGAGCATACTGTGGATCAGCAGCTTTCAATGCCAATGTTAAACTTGGATTATCTCTCAATAAAAATGGTTCCAAATGTTGTGGTAATGTCATCAAATATTGACCAACTTGTGTGATGTATTCTTGAGGTGCAAAACTATAATCTGGTAAATCTGTACTTAGATGCATTTTATTTACATCACCTGACCAAGCTGGTGCTTTTTGTACTAAGAGTAATTGAGAAAATATTGGAGCAAAAATGACTTCGTAAGTCGCATGATGTAAATCGGAACAAAGTTTATGAATCGGTTTTATTACAGAATCGAGAATAGTTTTATCCTCTGTAAATAAAATACATTTATTTCATTATGATGATAATTAATGAATATAATGTTAATATATTTTATAATTAAATTTGTATTTACCTTTTTGAAAGGAAGCTACGAGTTGTTCTAATTCTGTTTGTCCGGCAGGTTCGAGAAGTAATTTTTTATACTGATTGAAAGGACCCGCTGTATGACTTAATAATTTATTATTGGATTCGATTATATCGATAACTAAAGATTTTTCAAATTGATGCACTTGTCCCAGAAATTCTCCTACAGTAAAAAAAAAGGAAATGTACAAATCTTTTTAAAATATTTAGAAAAATATTTACCTATACTTTGCATCAAGGTAAGACACATTTGAAATAAATTCCAATCTTCTTGTTTAACTTTTTTCCTTTCCAATTGTCTTATCGTTGTTTGATATTTAATAATATATTTATCAAAATATATCTGTAAAATAATCATTTAATTATCTTTTGTTATATTAGAAAGAATATGAGAAGAAAGAAAATAAACGTACGTTTAAGGCTTTAAGTAAACCTGGATAACCACAGCCATCGGTGAACAGTTTACATCGTTTATTAGCTTCATGAGCATAAGTAATAATTCTGGAAATACTGAATGACAAAGAATTGATGGTTTCACTAAGATCATCGTGTAATAAATCCATTGATTGAAGTTGTTGTTCCAATTGTGCAACTTCGTAAGTTTTATACTTCATGACGTATGGAACATAAGGTGCATATATTGCTTGTGCCAAAGATGTTACATGTTGAACAAATGTTTTTGCATTACTTGTTTCATTACCAGAAATATTACGATTGATTGATTTCATTGAAGACAACGTTTCTATAGCTCCATTTATGTTCACAGCAAAATGTCTGGTAAGTTGTTTAAGTTCTAACAATAAAGATAATTGCATAGCATTCGAATATTGTTTCAATAATGATTCTATACATTCCAGTATACTTGGATCCAAACTTCTCAATAAATCAGCATACACGTTAATAAGAATTTCAATAGATGTGTTGGGAAATACTTGTTGACACCATTTTACCTATAACATTATATATGACACTTATTTTAAATATTAATTACAATTATAATGGTAAATAATTTATACTCTTTACTTGTTCGTGCCAAGTAGTTAAAAGTTTGTCATAATAGGTGTGTAACCAGTACGTCAAATTTTCATCCTGTGCCAATTCTATGGTTTGTCTCCATTCTTGTCCCAACGATACTTTCAAACAATTGTGATAATATTTCAGAAGTTGAGGTAACCTTTCCATTTTGTTGAAAATATCCACATACACTTTGGATTGGTCTATAAATTCAAGTAAGATATTTAAGTTTAATTATAGAATATTACAAAATAAAATATAGATACCTAAATTTCCTGTGTTAAAAGCTTGCACAAGTTTAGGACTAGCCATGGCTTCTAATCGATTTTTTAAACCTTCTAATTGTAGCTTTTTATCTTCAAAATCTACAACGTTGATAAGCATGGTTAAAGACTTTTGCATGCTGAACAATTTGCTAGCAATGGCTTCGATATCTCCTGATTCAAATACCTATCAAAGTATTTGGAATAAATTAGAATGATTATTAAGTATTAATATTATAAATAATATTATAAATCAATCTTCATACTTCTTCTACATCGTTTGCCAAAGCACTCCAATTATCTGCTTCGTGTAGACCACGTTTGGCTGTTTCCAGTTGAGTTTTTATTCTATCCAATCTTTCTAAAGATTCTATAGAAGATACTGTACATTCTTCTACCTGTTAAATCAATTTTTGATGTAATGAATTTTATAAAATTATGAAGTACAATGATGTTTATGGTAATGTGTTAAGAACCTTAGCAATTTCTTGTTTAACCGAAGCCATCTTTTCTTTTAATGCTAAAGCTTCTTGTTGCAATAGTTGACTGTCTCGAAGAACCCTTGGTAAACTTGATAAAACCGATTGACTGGTTTCTTCCAATGCACTGTTAACTTGTTGTACATACAATTGTAGTTTCATTACCAAAGATGATACAAACGCCTAATAAAAAGATAATTGAGATAAAGTATGATTTCAAAATGAGAACATTGAAGTGAAATATTCATTTTTTATGTTGACTTTACAATTGTAAATAATTTTTCAAAAATTGTTTTAAAATTTAAAAGTAACTTATTGTTATTATTTCACCAAAAATTTACATCTTTGTTCTCTTGAGCTTCGTTGGATTTGAACGTTTTGTTGATCCATTCTTTAGCATCAAATGTGTCCTCAGAGAATGCGGAGACATCCTGTATATATTAAATGTCAACTTGTCAAAACTATTACATTTATATTTGGACATTTAACACTCTTATATACTATTGTTTATTATATAATAATGAAATATATTATAATACGTGATATAAAATATATAGAAACAAAAATTTGAGGTTAGAATAATTATTAAAAATAAAATATTTTTTCTATAGGTGTAAGATAGAAAGAGAGGGGAAGAAGTGGAACCGAAATGGACATGAGAAAGACAGAAAGGTAAAGTTTTTTTTTAATAGTTTTACGTGTGTAGTTAATTATCGTTTCTTTGTGTTTGTACGAAAGAAAGAGAAATGTATAAAGTTCAAAAGAGAAAGAGAGAAAGATAGATAGAAAAAAAAACTATTCAAATTTACCAGCTGAGCTTACCATACTCATAAGAACTTCCGGAGATATACTAGCACACAAGTAAAACTGATTGCAATTCAAGATTGTTCGATTTAAATAACCTTAAAAAGTGTGTGTTTATTTATAATACGAACAAGACAAAGAGAGAGAGAGAGAGAGAGAGAGAGAAAGAAAGAAAGAAAAAGAGATAGAGAAACTTCAACGAGAAAGATAGAGAAATTAGTAAGGTTAGAATTTATTTTGTTCCTTTTTTTACACTTTCTTACCCCCTCCCCTCCCTTTCATTTCTCCTATATATACATGTATATATATATATGTTTGCAATTGTAGATATTTTTTTTCTAAATTAATTTATTATATTACCATTATTATTATTATTGTTATAGTAAAAATTTAAAAATGGAATTTATTATTTAACGTATCACGTGGTTATTGAAATTATTGAAATAATTTTCGTTATTTTCGCAATGAATGATTTTTCCATAGTTGTGTTGTGTAAAATGTACTACGTAGGTCAACGTCGTCGTTGTCGTCGTCGTGTCGTCGTCGTTGTTCGTCGTCATTGCAACGTCGTCAACGATGACGATGACGACGACGTAACGTGTGTCTCGTAAGAACAAAAAAAATATATATGTATATGTATATATGTATATATAATAATCGTTCGTGTTCACATGGATACCGTATGCATTTCTCACCTTTTAATACGATATCGTAATTGGAGAAAAGCTCGTGAAAAAAACAGGTAACGTGATAATAAAATTCAAACGATAATAAACGAATCTTTGTCATTTGTCATTCTCGTCATCTCTTGTCATCTCTTGTCACCATCGTGTCATTTTAGAAAATAATTCCCAATAATGATAATAATTATTCGTGTCATTTTTTTTTATGTATATTCATTTTTGACGAGAATAAAATGAAAAAGAATTAATTATATTTTCCTTTCTTTTTTTTAGGTTAGAATCATATTTGATTTATAAAGAAAGGGGTTAGGGGGAGAGAGAGAGAAAAGATGAAAAATAAAATTAATTAATAATCGAATTTAATAAATTTTTCTTATTTTCTTTTATATTTCATTATCGTTACGTACTAATATGCGAATATTTAAATTATACGATAATTACGAAAGGTGAAATTAAAATCAAAGCTAATTAAATGGGATCATCGTGAAAATGTTTAATTGAAATGTTAGGTTATTTGGCTTTCATTATATTTTATCTTTATTATCATCATTATTATTATTATTATTATTATTATTATTACACGGAAGAGAAATGGTGAATAATAATTATTCTGGCCGTCTTTTTTTTATATGATCAACTTATTTATGTAATTTTTTATTTTTTATTTTAGCAGTTTGATACATCTCATTATTTTGATGGATCATCTCTCTCTCTCTCTCTCTCTCTCTCTCTCTCTCTCACACTTTCTCTTAGTTTCTTTCTTCCTCTTCCTCTTCTTCTTCTTCTTTAGTTTTTTTTCTCTTTCTCTTTCGATTAAAACAAGGGGAAAAGCGGGGTCATTGGAGAGGGTAAAAATGCATGTATGCATGCATACATGTGATTTGTTTGTGTGTGTGTGTGAGTGTGTGAGAAAGAAAGAAAGAAAGAAAATGCAGCGTGTGATATCGGATGGTTCCGCGCCCTTTGCCGATTGCCACGCCCCCCAAGTTTGAGTTTGCGCTTTAGCGGTTGCGCAACAGTTGGGAACTTGGAATTTTGCCCCCCGAAATTGGCTGACGGCCACATTCGAAATAAGGAAAAAGCACCCCCTTCTCACTCTCTCACTCTACCTGGCTAATTTCGAATGGTGGGAGTAGGATAGATGATCGAGTGAGTGAGTGAGAGAGAGGGGGGAGGGTTGAATGAGTCAAGACGGGTATGGGAAGAGGTAGGGGAAGAAGAGGAGTGAGGTGGGGTGAGGAAGAGGGAAATTAAAGGATGAAAGTCGACTACTACTTTGTCTCCGACGTTGATTTTCCAGTTTTCTTATTTTTCTGTTTTCTTTTTTGCTTCGTCTTCTTCTTCAATATATTTCTTTTTCTTTTAGAGGTTATTTTTCTTTTTTTTTTCTTTCTTTCTCTTTCTTTTAGCTCGGTGCAAACAAAATCGACGAACGAACGACCAACTCATTCGTCGTCTTCTTCTTCTTCTTCTTCTTGCTGCCATATTTCCTCCGCAATTCGCCTTCGTGAATATTTGATATTTCGATTTGCCTCTTTTCTTCGTAATGCAATGCATATACTCCATCCATATATACAGTGAACGTATTTTAAAATTGTATGTATAATACCGTTACGGGTTATTCTAAATTTTTTCTTGAAAATTATTTTTTAGAGAATAAACAAAATTTTGAAATGTAATGTAATACAAAGTACATTTGCTTACAAAAATAATATATACTTGTAATAAAAAATAATTATACAGTATATATACAGTAAGCATATTTTAAAATCGTGTGTATAATATCGTTACTATTTATTCAAAATTTTTCCTTCATAATTATTTTTTATATAATATACAATATGTTTTAGAGAATGAAGAAAATTTTGAAATATAATGTACTATAATACAAAGTACATTTGTTTACAAAAATAATATATCGAACTCATCAAACTGGCCGAAAACATTAAAACAAAATGTATTTTATACTTTTGAACAATTACAAGTATTAGTAGAATGTATTAGAATATTAAAAATAATTGTTAATTAATCGAAAAGAATGTGTATTGTTAGCTGACAACACCAAGTTTATAATCTACGTATCATCTTCTTGGAAATCCACCGTTAAACCGAGTCATTGTCCTCTGAGTTGTTTTGTTTAAATGTTAGGTTTATATTGCTTTCCAAAAAGGTTACATAAACATAATGAAAATGTAATACTCGGAATAAATGGTATTTCCTTTTATGGAATGTAATATAAACACAATATTGAATAAAAGAACTGTACGTAGAGGACAATGTGCCAGTCTAACGGTGAATTTTGAGGATGACGGTACGTAAATGGTATATTCTCTGTTTTTAAACTACAATATACATTTCTTTCGACTAATTAACAATTATTTAACATATATCGAACATTATGATATACATCATGATGTTTAAAGTACACACACACATTTTTATGCATATTATTTTCTTATTTGTTATAATTATTACAATTTTTTTTTAACATAGAACGCGTACTGTATAATAATAGTTTTCAAGGAAAAATCTAGTAACCGTAACGGTGTGTACAATTTGAAAAGGGACCCTCATTGTATACATGTGTTTATATATTTGTTTTATAATTCGTTCTATGTATGTGTGTATTATATTATTACAGATGAACAAGGAACGGTAAACTCTTTGGAAAGATGGCAAGAATGCAGGTACACACATCCACCCATTCACACACACGTATATACAAATTGATATTTCTCATTCGTTTGAAAACGTTCAACTTTCATTCTTTTTTATTTATTATTTATATTTATTCATACTTCATATATACATATATTTATTACATTTTATATTATATATTTATATATTATATTAGGAGTACAGCTGTGCTTCTGCTATTTTCCTACAGATGGCTTATAGAAAAAATGGCGGAAACAAAATTTTACATCTAATATATACAATAATATGAAAAGAACAAAAAAGTTAATAATTAATAATATATATATATATATATATATATATAGGTTTATATTTAAATGATTCGTTATAAACAATAATCGTAAGAAATACGAGGGGGATAATTTAGAAAAATAAAGCATCAATTATTTTCTTTTTTTTTATCTTTTGTTGGTGATACGATACGATAAAACGGGAATGCATTTCATTGTTCGCGAATAAATAAGAGAAAGAATAAAATGAGTGTGAAAGAAAGAAAGAAAGAAAGAAAGAGAGAGAGAAAGGAGAAATGTGAAAGTAAGAAAGAGAAAAAGAAAGAGAAAGAGAATGATAGAAAGAATATTCCAGGCATTGGCGTAGATCGTTTACATCGATTTTCGCAAATTTCTATCTCGCATTTCTTTTGATCCCTTTTTTTTTATTATCAGGTCGTTTATCTTTTAAGGTCGATTACCTTTTTCCTTATCGCATACGTCAAATTTGCCTAACGTTCATGAACGGGGAACAGATAAATTCACTTTTTTCTTTTTTTTTTTTTCGATTATCCTTACCGACTTTAGCGTGGTCTAACAATGGCGTCGTTATATTCCACTCATCACATTTTATTTTATTCCCATCAAAAGAAAAAAAAAACAAAGACAAAGAATACAATTAATAATCGGTTTGTACAGGGGGAGGAGAAAGGGGAAAAGCGAAAATTCGAATCCAATTGTAATTTATTTGATAATTTAAATACATGTGATTAATAATTAATTAAACAAATATAATAATTATTTTATCTCAAGTAGTCCGCCAATTTGGCGGCCATGTTTCTTTTTCTGTCTCATTTCATTTTTTAGTATTCTTTTTTTCAAATGTATTTTAAATATCAATCGTATTATTTGTTGATCCGATTAATGGGGGATTAAATAAAAGATTTAATTAATTTTTGATCGAATAAAAAGAATATTTCTAAAAATATTAAAGAGAGATGGGAGAAGATAATTTTATTGGTTAATAATAAATTGAATTATTAAGATATTCTCTTTCTCTCGTTGACGAATACATTTCGAGAGTGTGGATTCGTTGAAAATACGAAAGATCATCGGTAACCAATCCCAAGCCTTTCTTCGCGATGGAGGAGATGAGGGATTGGACAAATGTTCTCCAGGGTACCGCTTTCCTATACTTCCGGTTGAAGAAATACAACAACTGATATCACAAAAGGCACAGAATTACGGTGAGTTTTAATAATAATTAAATAAACAGGTAAAACGTTTCGTTATTTCATTTTTTGTGTGTAATTTATCGATAAGTTCAAATCGCATGTAATTTGACTATCGCGATTTCCAAAATGGTGGACTAGGATTTGAAGTTTCGCCAAATTGGATTCTTCCTAATTTCAAAATGGCAGCCAGTTCTACAATAACGTCGATCATTTTTCCTTCATAATATTTCGAAAAATTTGTTCAAGGATTACTTTTTGATTGTTTTATAAAAATTAAATTGTAATTTATTTTAAAACAAAGTTTTTATCATAATAATATATACGCATATTGTTTTAAGAAATATTTCAAATCACGTGACGTATTATAACCTCTTTATTGTCTCCCATTCCACATAGCTGTGTCCTTTCATTCGTTCGCCCCTGGGCTGTGATAAAAAGACATTGGACCAGCCTATTACACATCTTTTTCTTAACCATTCTATTCGCAAAAAGGTAATAATACTAATCACATATTATTTTTATTTCATCGTAAAACAAAAAAAAAACAAGACAAAAAATTTATTCTTTATTCCGCGTCACGATTTTTCCATATATTTCCATTTATTTTTTTCTTCTTTTTTTTTATTTTTTTTTTTTTATCCTAATCTCACAACACAAAGAGAGAGAGAGAGAGAGGGAGAAAGAGACAAACAACAATTATTCATAGAATTTGTAAGTGTGAATATATGTGTAGTAAACAACTAACACTTTGAAATATGTGTATTTTTTTTCTTTTTTAATTTACATACGCTATCGTATTATACGTTTTAAAATAAAAGCGCATATAAATAATAAGCGGTCATTTTTAATCCTTTTACGATTGTCATAATCCACTTGTATATCTTTTTTTTTTCTTGTATTTATTATAATTTTCACTCATACCAAGGTGAAAATACTTTAAATGATTTGCCGTTGTGTTGAAATAAAAGGAACATTAAGAGAGATAGAAGAAAATAACTATACAGTGAAAGTATACAGTACTTTTATTCTCGGATTTAAGGTATCCATTAATAAAAAAAAAATACAAAGAAATGTACCCCCTCCCCTCCTCCCCTGACACATACTACGTGAAATATTTTATTTTTATTTTTATTTTTGTAAATCTGTTAACAAAAACGAAACGTTTAGAAATTTCTTATTTTTCATCTTTTCATTACAACAACAACAACAATCCACAAGCAAAAGTAGTACGGAAACTTTCAAAAGACAATCAATCGTTTGGTCTCCGACACTTTGCAAAGTAAACGATTCGAGGACATCGGCGGATGAAATTAATGATCTCCCCTCGATCTCGTTTGATTACGAGAACCATCTCTCTCTTTTAGCATCATCGGAACCCACGCCACAGTTTCCATCTTCTTCCTTTCTCTCCCACCCCCTCCTCTATCCATTGCGCCGTTGTCCCTTCCCCTACTCCTGTACCCCTTCTCCCCCCTCTTTTGTGTTCTTTCAACGTTCCTCTTTTTCGCTCATTGAGTTTTTTCCCCCTTCTCTCCTCCTCCTTCATATCCCCTCTCTCGTTTCTTTCCTCTTTATCAATCTCTTTTTATTGTTTCATTTTATTATTATTATTATTATTATTATTATTATTATTATTTTACCTTTTTCTTTCTTATCCCCTTTTACCCCTTTTTTCCTCTCCCTCTCTCTCCTTAATACGCGAATCAATTCTTTTTCGTTAAAAGATATTAAGAAATAAAAAAAAAGGAATAAAAAGGTAAGAGATAGAGAGACAGAGAGAGAGAGAGAGAGAGAGGGAGAGTGTCCCTTTGTAACTAAAAGAAAAATCAATTTTCTTCAATCTTTTTTAACATCCAAGAATAGGATTATAAAGGTTGTAATAATGGCAATATTAGTGTGTGTGTGTGTGTGTTTGCGTATGTGTGTGCGTAATATAATGGGAGAAGGGGGAATGTAGGGAAGGTTAATAGAGATAATAGATAAAAAGATTAAAAGATAGGGATAAAAAGATATTTGCTTTTTCATCTTTCGAATTTCTCTGCGCACGATCGACCAGCCGTAGCAGAAGAAGAACCAACAACAACAACAGTAGCAGTACCAGCACCAGTACCAGAGTACCAGTACCAGTACCAACACACCAGTTAGGTTCTCTCTAACAGGTCCTCGACCTTCTCTCTAAACCTCCAAGCTGAGCGCAAGCGATCGGATATGCCAAGAAACGATACATCCACCGATCTCCCTCCCCCCTTCCTATCCTCCCACTTTTAGTCCTTCCTTCCCCCCCCCCTCTCTCTCTCTCTCTCTCACCCGAGTGGGCCCCTTTTTCAACGATTTTCATTGTTTCTTCTTCTCTCGTCGTTCTCTTACTACTACTCGCATGGAATTGTATGTACGCGGGTTAAATATTACGTCCTTAAGATGGGTAATCGTGAATTCAGGCAAGATAGACGACGCATTCAAAAATGGTAGTTACATTGAATATTTTTTTAAAAAATTCTTTTTTCTTTTTGTATCAATTGTTAATATTCCTATTCAATTTTTTTCTTATTTTATCATTTGCAAATATTGATATTAATTTTTATTTCGTTATCTACTAACATATATAAAGTTTTTTTAATTATTTGTTAGGTTAAGTGATAAGCTCGTGCAGAGCTTTTTTTGTTTTTGGTTTTTTCTAAATGAACAAACGGCGTGAATTATCGCACGAATTTTATTGGTCAATCTAATACAAGTTTTCCAATTATTAATTATTATACTCATGATTATTATTTCTTAGAATTGGATAGGGGAGGGGAGAAAAGAAAAGATGGAAGGAAAGAGAAAAAAGAAATTTGTTTCAAAAAGAAATATCGAAGAAAATAATAAACTTCTCCCGCGCTCTTTTCTCATCTCCGGGGGGACAGATGCGCCTAGCAGAAGCGATAACGGCTTTCTTCTCGAGGGTAGTCCCCACGAGACAAGGAAGAGGGGGAATGCATGCATATGACGAAGGAGGGGGAACGGCGAAGGGGAAGGGGAAGAATGAAAGAGTGAGAGAGAATGCAGACACGCGCACGCGGGCTCCGCGGCAAAAAGTAAAAAAATGTAAAAAAAAAAATAATAATAATAATGAAAATAATAATAATAATAATGATAATAATAATAATAAAAGGGATTCCAGCAAAAGAGGGAGCAAGCAAGCAAGCAAGAAAAATGAAGAAAGGAAAGGAAGAAAGAAAGAAAGAAAGGAAGGAAGGAAGAACGGGACTCCGAATTTTTTTGCAGTCCCCTTCTTCTTCGTCCGGCTCTAGAGGTATTATATTGATTTTTATAAATTCCTCGCGAGAACGGCCAAAGCTGAATACCATACTACTACTACTACTACTACTACTACACCATCATCATCACCACACCACCTCCATTACTGTTACTACTACTATAACAATTTCTCAAAGTAATTATGTGAGAATGAAAAACGAATAAATAATATATAACAGAAGAATCTCATTGGACAAAACAGTTCGGTTACATAGTTTTCCCGCCATGTAACTTTGCAGAGTTTAACGACGGAAACGTACGAAAGTCTACGAAAAACTACGATATTGAACTTTCGTACTTTTGATTTCCTCCTTTCCTTTCTTTTTTTCTCTCTCTCTCTTTTTCTTTCGTTTCTTTCACTTTCACACCAATGTAAATAATATTTTTATTCGAATAAATGTTCTGTTGAATTTTAAATAAACAAAAAAAAGTGAAGTTATATAATTATTTGGATAAAGTAGTAGTAAAAAAAAAATAGAAAAAAATGTTTATTAAAAAAGGAGGGAAAATTCCTAGTGACGATAGTAGTAGATACCAAGAATAGGAGTCTGGTAACACGCGACGACACACGGCCCTGCTCACAGTCGGAAGTAATCGAAAGTAGTCGAAGCCATCCGACGAACGTTAGGAAAAGTGGGGTGCTTCCCCTACTTTAACTTTTGCCGCCCCTCAGTTCCCCACCAGAGTACACTACTAGAGACCTGCACACCATCCCCTTCTTCCATCCTTCTTTGTCTTTTTCATTCTTTCTCTCTCTCTCTCTCTCTTTTACTCTCTTCCTCAGTCGCTTCCTCCTCTTTCTCCGTCTCACTCTCTTTATCACTGTCTTCTTCCAACCTCTTTCTCTCTCTCTCTCTCTTTCTATCACACACATTCACTCTCACTCACATACACGGTCTCCTATCTTTCTCTTTCTATCTCTTTCTATCTCTTTCTCTCTCACTCTCTCTTTGATTCTGTCTCACACTCTTGCTCCCTCATTCGCTCGTTCGTTCTTAACGTCAAACCACTTAGGGCCGCGAACCTCGGCAGTCAGTCGATCTTTCTAACGGCAGCATTTCGGCATTTTCCAGCTGATCGGGCGCGAGCGGTTCGCGGTTGTTAGTTCGACAATCGCCATTTTGTACGTCAGCACGCATCGTGTGTGCTGTTGGTTGGTACGTCGTAATCGTAGTCGGTGTTTTCGTCGCCGTCGGTTGCGTTGTCGTCGACGTCGTCGTCGTCGTCGTCGTCGTCGTCGTTGTCCTCTCGTCGCGTCGTCCTCGTTGTTTTCATCGTCGGTCGTCGATCGTAACGTCACGCCGGCGTTTCTCTCATTGTACATATTACACATATATATATATGTATGTATATATATATATATATAGTACACACATCTATCTACATGTACATGTGTTAATTCAAAGTGTGTGTCGTTCCGCGACGCGCCGTTCCTCTCGTTCATCTTTCTATCTCTCTCTTTCTACCCGTTCGCGTTTTTTAAAGGAACACACAGGGTCCTCGTGGTGCGTGTGTATGTGTTGCGTTGCGTGCGTGCGTGTGTGTGCGCGCGTTCTTTTCAACTATTTTTCTCATCCCCCTTCACACTTTGTGCGTGGTTTTTAAATAAACGTGCATCACACGTAAATATATTATTATTATTATTTTATTATTATTATTATTTTATTATTATTATTATTATTTTTGTGTATTTATATATANTATTATTATTTTATTATTATTATTATTATTTTTGTGTATTTATATATATATATATATATATATATATATATATATATATATATATATATATGTATGTATGTATGACGACTGACGTAAACACACACGTGTTTTATTATTCATTTTTCAAATAACAAATTTCATCATATGTCATAACCTAACACACGTGTTGTGTGTGTCACGCGTCACAAAAAAGAAAAGGGAAAACAAGAAGGAAGGAAGGAAGAAAGAAAGAAATCAATCAACAAAATTGAAATCGTAAGAATTCGTAAAAGCGCGCGCCTTTTTTTAACCGACCAATTCCTTTTTTTAACCCCTTTAGATTTTTCCCCGAAAAGAGTGGGAAGATTTTTAGTAGGCATTATGTGCGTGTGAAAGATAGAAAGAAGAAACTAAAGAGAATTGTGGACTAAAAAAAATAAAAAAATAATAACCCTCAGTGCGTTTGTTTCCGCTTGAACTCGAGAAACAGTCAAAGAAATAGACATACACACATACATACAGCAGACAAACAGACAATCAGACAGACAGACACTTTCAGTTGGTTTAATAGATAAATAAAAAGGAAGATAGAAAATAAAAGATTAATAGATAAATGGGATAAAGAGAAAGAGAGAAGGAGTATAATAAAAGAGTCTTGCTTGCGGTGCGCGAGCATAGTGCGCGTACGGAGTGCGTGAACCGAGTGCGTGGTGCCGCGTGTGCTGAGCTTCACTCGCATACTACCTCCACCACTACCCCTATCTCCTCCCCCCTTATTCTCTTCTTGCATCCTTACAACCTCCCCCACTTCGTAACTATCACAAAACCTACCCCTCCCCACCCCTCCTCTCCTCCTTTTTCTCCAATCATTCTTTCTTTCTCTTTCTAACTCTTTCTCGCACGCTCATATTTTGTACTTTCTGCCGTCGTCGTTGTTTCTTCCTGATCATCCTATTCTCTCGCTCTTTTTTTTATTTCATTCCTTCTACGTTTTATCTATTACTATTCTATTACTATTATTACGAGTACTAGTACTCTTTATATTACAACTTGCTGATATATTGTTGTCGGTGTGTTGTTGCTGCTATCCCTACTACTACTACTACTACTACTACTACTACTACTACTACTCTTTCATTGGATCATCACCTACTCTACTACGTCATTGGATCACACCCCTACTACCTACTATTTACGTCACTGGATCACCACTACCACTACTATTATTTTGCATTATAGACGAGCGCGTGCTCGTGTCACGAGGGGATGTTTCGGATTGGATGAAACACCAAGATAGTGAGTACAAATTCTAACGAATTTATTTATTTGAATTTATTTATTTGAATTTATTTTATTTTTAGTTTATATTTATCATTTTATCTTTTCACTTCAGTTTATTTTATTTTTATATTTTGAAATGTATCATCGTTAGAGAGATAGAAACGAAGCTCCCGCGCGCGAGCGCGTGTATTCGTTGTATGTGCGCGCGCACACGCGGAAATACTTTTTCTCGCGAGAAGCGTGTTTTTCCGCCTGCACGGCATAACGTTTGCCTGTTTGCCTGCCATGTTAAAAGAAACCGGCGTCTATCTTTTCTATCTTTTTCTTTCTATTTATCTATTTATCTAACTAAAACTATCTTTCTATTTCTTGTTCGTGCCGGCTCGCGGTACTTCCCCCTACCACCGTACCACGCGACGCGACTCTTTCCCCGCTCCTCCCTATTCTTCTTTATTTTCCTTCTTTCTTCCTCTACTCTTTTTCGTTACCCCTTCCCCCCACCACTTTGCGAACCATTCCGTCGCGACGGCGGCAATTATTTTGCTGTTGCTGTTGCCTTTGCTTTTGCTGCTGCTGTTGTTATAGGCTAAGTGCCGTCGACAATCAAATTATACTTCGATCGCGTTTATTTTTTTTTTGATTTTACCATCACTACTATCATAATAATGCAATAACAACACAACACAAGGATGACGACGGAAATGCAACGACGATGCAACCATGTAAAAAATGGAGAATAAACCCACACCATTGATGTTGATTGTCAAACAACGACCTCTCGTTTTTCATTGACTTGTTGTCTCTCCCTCTCTCTCTCTTTCTCTCTCTCTCTCTCCTTTTTAGCCTTTATTATACTTGATTACTTTGTCTCTTTTTATTTCTTTTTTTATTCAATCATTTTATTTCTTTCTTTCTCATTTTCTCTTTTATCTTTATTTTTCCCTTCGCTAACATAACTTCGTATAATAATAATAATAAAATATTTAAACAAATAAATGTTTGAATTTTAATTCGACATGTAATAATTTCGGACACCATTATTTTTGCTGGTAGTGTACCTTTTTTTTTCGTGTTTTCTATGCTACGAAAGAAAGAGACAAACAAAACAGATGTACAGATAGATAAATAGTTAGATAGTTAGATAGAAAGAAATATTACGAGGGGATATAGGAAAACAATGGAGCATCGCGACACGAAAAGAGGGAGAAGTGGTGGTAGAAATGGTAGGGTAGAGTGAGAGGGAAAAGAAGGGAGTAGAGTAGCGTCGCGTCGTGTAGGTTGAAGGGTGAGAGGGGACTAGAAGGGGGTGGGGGAAGGAAAACGACGTTATACTCTTCGGACTACACGCGGTCGTTCGTCTACTGCATGAACTCTCTCTCTCTCTATACATTCACACACACACAGTTCTTTCTTTTTTCCTGACCCCTCTCTTTCAATGAGGTAGGGGAGAAAAAAGAGAATGAGAGTGAGAGAGAGAGAGAGAGAGAGAGAGAGACGCGTTGGAATAATGCGACTTTGAAGATCTTCCAAAGAATCATTCCCCTCTTTACACACTCTCATTCTTTCTCTCTCTCTCTCTTCCTCTCTTTTTTACTTTTTCATCATACGCATTCTCAAATAAGCAACCACTTTTTGCGGTTTAATGTCGCATGTTTTACGCCCGTTAATAATTTTTTTTTTCTTCCTTTTTTTTGTTGCGAGGGATATATGCACTTCTATCGTCGGCGTTAATCAAAATTGCATTCTTCCTTGCAACTCTTTACCCCCACTCCCTCACGTCTCGTCCCACACCACACTCCACTTTACTCCACTCTACCCCCACTCTCTTCTCCTCTCATCTCCTCTTCACTACTCCCACTCCCACTTCTTTTCTTTCCTTTCCTTTCTCCCTTCTCTTTTTTTTATCCCCCCTCCCAGCACCTTCTGTTCGCTTCACAAAGTTTTTTTTTTCTTTTCATTTTCATTTTTATTATTTTTTTTTTACTGCGGACAAGCAATTTCATTCGCCGAGATGATTTCAAGCGCCCAAGAATATTATTAAGACCTTCTAATTGTCTCTATCCTTTCTATCTCTCTTTTTCTTTCTCATTTTTATCTCTTTTTTTTCATTTTTTATCTTTTATCCGTCTATCTTCTTCCACTTTGTTCTCTTTCTCTCTCTCTCTCTTTCTTTCTCTTTCGCACTATCGTGGAATTTTTGAGTAGGAATTATTTCGAAATGAGTCATCGTCGTGAATCGCGATTAATGAAGAAAGAAGGGCGAAGGGGTGAGGTTTAAAGGGTATTGAGGGAGAAGGAGGAGAAGAGGGACTAGAGGATAGGGTGTTGGGTTCGTCGAGAATGAAGAAGAAGAAGAAGAGTGAGAAAGGAGTACTGGATATGGGGGTAAACGGGAAGAAGGGGGAGGAAGCTTTTCCAAGTATTTCGCGGCACGCGATAGCCCGAGGGCGTGTGTAGTTAATTCTATGCTTATTTTTATGCGGGGAATTTTTTTTTAATTCTCGGAAGTCCACGTTGTTACACCGCACAAGTTAACTTTACAAAGAATTGCCCAGTATTCCGAAGTTAAGAAGTTAATATCTTTTTTTTTCTTTTTCTTTTCTTTTTCTTTTTATTCGAATGAAAATAAGTTATCGCGAAATTGTAATACACCACCCCGTTACCGTTGCCGCCACCGTCGCCCCATCGCCGCCATTTGTCAAGATGGCGGAACATTTTTAATATCACCGAAATTTGTTAGTTAATTTTTTCGAATAAATTTGTTTCTTCTTTTTTTTTTTTTTTTTGATTACATTCAAATAATAGGATCAAATTTTTTCAACTATCATCTCAACACGTGTTTTTGCTGTTAAATAAAGTAATAAAAGGAAGAATACAAATGGCAGAAAAAAAACATGGCGACGGTAAGCTCGTAATGTCAAAGTCCGATCGTTGATTGGCCGAATGATGACGTTTGATAATTCTATATGTATCTAAGGAAAAAAATAAATTATGTCATCTTATTCGAGATTTCAATGCACGTGTTTTTCTTCTTCTGCATTTTAATTTCTCTTTTGTGTTGTGTGGATTAACCTTCTTCTTTTTTGTTGTTGTTCTTTTCGTCAGTTTTTTTTCTGTATCTATTATTCTTTTTATATAGCTGCATTTATCTATGAATTACTAGCGTCAGAATAAAACTGGTCGGAGGTTGGTTTTGTGCGTCATTGCAAATTCGAAAAAGAGCGATCATTGACGTCACCCAGAAACTCGTTGTTCATCTCTATTATTTCTTTTTTTTTTCCTTTTTTTTTCTCTTTAATCGTTAATAGCTAATAACGCACGATCGATCTTTTAAATAATGCGAGATTATCGATCCGTCCCCGATACACGATCATCTAGTTTACGTTTTCAAATGGGTTTTCCCAAAAAGAACCAAACATAACTTTTCGTTTTATTCATATTTTTATTTATTTTTCTCTTTTTCTTATTGTACATATTTATATCATTATATAAAAATTGAGATTTGAATCGTACGCATAATAAAAAGAATGATTCATACATCGTGATTATAGATTTTTTTTTTTTTTTTTACATAGAAAAGATTGACGAAAGAATAGTTCGTTGAAAGGTCAAAAAAAAGTACCAATTAATAATCTATCCCAAAAATAAAAATTACTATAAATTTTCCAACTAGTAACAAAATGTCGTCCGATTTCTAGTAAAAAAAAAACATACCTACTAACCTATCCCGAAAATAAAAATTAATATAAATTATCTAACTAATAACAAAATGTAGCCTGATTTTCTGACATCGATAAAATGAGAATAAAATAAGAATAAAATAATAAATATTAATTTTAAAAATGAATTTGTCGAGAAGTATCATCCTAACCTTATCATGAAGTCCCCCTATTTCCCCACCATCATCCGCTCCTGTCCCGTATTATAAGATTTTTATTCATAGGATGAAAAAAACTAAAAAAAAAAAAAAAAAAAAACTAAAAAAACATTACTAGATTACACGAATCAAGCAAGCCCAAACGCTCTCTCTGGAAGAAGAAAATACTCCGGGGCTCGATTTATTCCTCATGTCTGATAGAGAAAAAAAAATGAAAAAAAAGAAAAAAAAAGAAAAAAAACGAATGAGAGTGAGTGAGTGAGTGAACAAGCGAGTGAGAGGAAGAAAGAAAGAAAGAAGAGCTCTCGTTTCTCGAGAGTTCTAAATTAATAAATTAGGAACGTCGAGAATTTCTCGTGACGATATACCCAGTCGAATGATGGACGACGACGACTATGACGACGACTACGAGCGACGAACGACGAACGACGACGAGACGAATGTTATTGAAAGCTCTATCATATCCTCTCTCCCATTTTTTTATTTTATTTTATTTTATTTTTTTCTCTCTCTCTCTCACTAACTTTCTCAATCATACACACACACACATATATATACGCACATACACATATACTTAGTTCGATTTCATAGCTTGTCGCAGTCTCTACTCATGCGGGTGAGGAGAAAGTGGTGGGGGATTGGTGTTGATGATGATGAGGAGCAAGAGTGGGGGCGGGGAGAAGTTTAGTAAACTCTGGGGTTTTTTTTTTACGGTGCAGTTGATACCTCGTTACGCTTTGCTTGTCCGAGATCAGGGCCGGCTTGCTTCTTTACGACACATCAGAAACAGAACGGGGGGAGGGGGACAGACACATCGGAAACGGGGTACCAACGAAAAAAAAAATACAAAAAAAATAGAAAAAGAAAAGAATAAGAGTAGTAGTAGTAGTAGTAGTAATAGTAGTAGTAGTAGTGTAGTAATAGTATTAGTAGTAGTAGTAGTAGTAGTAGTAGTAGTAGTAGTACAAGTGGTAATACAACCCGTAACGTAATTCCTTCCTTCCTCCTACCCCTCCTCCCAGCCACCCACTTCTTTCTTTCTATGTATATGTGTGTGTATGTGTTTTTCTTTTTTTTTCTTTTTCTTTTTATTCTCTTATTCGTATATTCCTTCAGCAACGATGCGAACGACCTCGGG